TCATGGCTGTTTTGAAGCTTCTCATGGCTGTTTTGAAGCTTCTCATGCTGACTGGCCATTGCCCCCCCCTTGCCTGATGTTGTGCATTTCCAGCTGGGGTGATTGTACATGTCCAGGGCCCCGAAATGTACAATGAGGGTAGGGCCTCCAAAGCCTGTTTAGGCCACGGGCGGCTAACGTAACAAAGCGCTCCGCACAGCAAGTGTGGATGCTGGGAGACAGCACACCTGCGCCACCGATAAAACATGTCAACGGAGCGTAGGAATTGAATCTGGCCGCATGCAGAGGTTGCGGTCTGCATGCCGCTTTGACTCACTTGCACAGGGCTCTCACATCGCTGTTCAGAAAACACAGAAGATCTGCGTGTTTGGGGACAGCCGCAGTGAGCGTTCCACGCTGGTGTACGCGTGTATTGATGTGAAGGTTGGTCAAGTTCCACACAGTTCACCAGGCTGAATCTCCACCATCACTTATTCATCACGTGCGTTGCATGAAAGCTGCAGCGGGGACAATTCGTGACACAGGCAAATGTGCAGTGCCTTACGTATGGGGCTTGAGCCAACAAAAGCTGCTGCAGAAAAAAGGCTTATGGGGCTCAACTCACAGGTAGCCTTCCTTCCACTTCGTCAAACAAGCACACTGCCCCTGATGGCTGAACTGGACGTCCACCACACTGAGCAGCTTGGCTGCACACTTCAGAATCGGTGAACCGTGTGATGAAATGGATGGGTAGCAGCCGACCAATTCGTCCGATGCCGCCTTTTGACTCTCTTGAGTCTCGCTTGAATACCTGAGGATGTTTGCTTTGGTGCTTATACACCTGTGCGGACCTGTGACATAGCCTGTTGGCTCAAAAAACTGAGCCATGACATAATTTGAGAGGCTAAGTCTCAAAGTCGCTGCATCACAGCTCGACTAGAACTGGCCTGCATGGCCTCCCCTTAGCCTTACACCAAGCGTTCTCCTTTGAGTCAAGCATGAGGAGGAGGAGCAACTGGTCACATACAAAGCAGTCGGATTCAAGACATGGAAGCCCCCGATTATTTCCTCATAAATTCACAGTGGAAAAACTCAAGCACAAACATCACAACGACAGTTGTGTACGCTGTTGATACAGATCATAAACTCTTGATAGCAAGCGCAAAGTTCAAACTGAAGGCTAGCGCTAAGAGACGTCTAGACAAACCCATCAGGTATCACAAGCCCTCCCCTGAGCAATTGTCAAATTACAATGATCGAATCCGAACCGACTAAATAGCATTTTGCTGACAAGCGCCAATGAATCATTTAATACAAAGTATCCAGACATAAAAAGGCCGTATATTTCACAACGCACTTGGAACTTACTTGAGCAAAAACGGACAGCAATCGAGAGAAAGCTCAGAGCCAAGTTTAGTCCATCGTTTACAAAATTTAAAGACCTAGAGGGCAACCATGTCCCGTTTCAGGACTATGCCAGTAAAGCAGCCGAATATCTTGAACAAGTCCAATGGAAAGAGCCAGACCTGGATGATGAATGACCCAATATCACGTGAAGATATCCCACTCCAAAATGGTAATTACCGAGTAGACGACTCTCCTTTCACAATGGTAGAAGTAGAATATGTCCTAAACAAAATCAAAATAACAAGTCACCAGGAGCTGACCAGATTCCAGGTGAACTTTACAAATGGTTGGATGTGCAGACAGAGCACTATTACTAGATGCAGCCAACGTTTGCTTAGCAAAATGAGAAAGGGCCCACCACTTGCAGTGCATCTCCTGGATAAGAAATGGGTTTGCCAGGCGTAGGGTACCCTTCATTTCTTAGCTAAACAGTAATTTCACATTTCCATTATTTCAGAGCCCCAGCCGTAGGGTACACTTCCTTTCTTAGCTCATTTCCTATTTTGGGATTCGAGCCCCTGAACGTTGGTATGTCTGGTGCTGAGAGACTCGCCTGATCCATTAGGCCATAGAGCCTCCAACCCCCAATGCACAATTAAGACCTAAGATAAAAGACGAAGCCCCCTACATTTCTTATTTTAGGGATTTTGCAGGCCCCTACATTTCTTATTTTAGGGCGCTTAGGGGTGGGCCTAGGGATAGGGGATAGGAGAAGGTGAAAACCACCAAATTAAGAAACGTAGCCCCCTACATTTCTTATTTCAGGTGGTTTTGCGGGCCTGCAATACCACCAGAATAAGAAACGTAGCCCCCTACATTTCTTGTTTTAAAGGTTTTGCGGGCCTGGAAAACCACTAATATGAGAAACGTAGCTACGAGTGCTACTCGCGGAAGGTACGCAGAAGGCCTCCGCGGAAGGCGTAGTTTCTGTAATAGAATTTAGATAGAATAAAAACCACCGCTCAAACAAGAAATGGCCCCA